CACATCAACGTTCAAATCAGCATCCATATCATCATCCACATCCCCATTCATATCAACATCCACATCCACATGCACATGCACATCCACCTCAACACCCACATCACAATCCATATCACATTACCCACATTAATATCAGAATGAAGATCCACATTCACATTAACAGCAGCATTGACTTCAAAAATTGACACACACATCAAAATTCACATCAACATTCAAATCAGCACCCATCTCACCATCCACATCCCCATCCATATCAAAATAGACATCAACATCCAGATCCTCTTTCACACCAACATCCACATCCACATCCACATCAACCTCAACATGGAAATCACAATACATATCATGACCCACATTAATATCAAAATAAAGATCCACATTGACATTAACATCCGCATTAACAACAAAAATCAACACACAAATCAACATTCAAATCAACATTCAAATCAGCATCCACATCACCATCCAGATCCCCATTCACATCAACATGCAAATTCACATCCACCTGAACACCTACATCACAATCCATATCACATTACCCAAATTAATATCACAATGAAGATCCACATGAAGATCCACATTCACATTAGCATCAGCATTAACTTCAAAAATTAAATGACACATCAAAATTCACACCAACATTCAAATCAGCATCCATATCACCATCCACATCCCCATCCATATCAAAATAAACATCAACATCTAGATCCTTTTTCACACCAACCTTAGCATACACATCAAACTTAACATAGGCATCACAATCCATATCATTACCCATATTAATATCAAAATGAAGATCCATATGAAGATTCACCTGAAGATCCACATTCACATTAACATCCACATTAACTCCGAAAATCAACATATATATAAAATTTACATCAACGTTCAAATCAGCATCCACATCAACATCCACATGCACATCAACCTCTACATCCACATCACAATCTATATCATCAACCACCTTAATATCACAATGAAGATCCACATGAAGATCCACATTCACATTAACATCCGCATTAACTTCAAAAATAAACACAAACTTTAAAATTCACATCAACATTCAAATCAGCATCCATATCATCATCCACATCCCCATCCATACCAAAATATACATCAACATCTACATCCTTTTTCACACCAACATCCACATGCACATCAACCTCAACATGGAAATCACAATACATATCATTACCCACATTAATATCAAAATGAAGATCCATATGAAGATCCATATTCACATTAACATCCGCATTAACTTCAAAAATTGACACACACATCAAAATTCACATCAACATTCAAATCAGCATCCATATCATCATCCACATCCCCATCCATACCAAAATATACATCAACATCTACATCCTTTTTCACACCAACATCCACATGCACATCAACCTCAACATGGAAATCACAATACATATCATTACCCACATTAGTATCAAAATGAAGATCCATATGAAGATCCACATTCACATTAACATCCGCATTAACTTCAAAAATTGACACACACATCAAAATTCACATCAACATTCAAATCCCCATCCATATCAAAATGGACATCAACATCCACATAAAAATTCACATCAACATCGAAATAGACACCCATATCAAATTCCAAATCAATATCCAAATTAACAGCCACATCAACATCCGCATTCACATCCACATCCACATCCACATGTATATCCAAATACAAATCCACATCAAAAGCCACACTCTCATCCACATCAGCATCCAATTCAACAGCCACATCAACATTCCGATCGACAAGCATATTATCAACCACATACAATCCACATCAAAATATACATCAACATCCACATCCACATCAGCATTCACACCAATACACACATCAACACTCGAGCGCTTATTTGTGCGCATAGACGCACCCAATATCGTTGTTGTGTGCGGTGTGACTCTTGCCGTCGATAGCTGGACGGTGTTTCTCAACGAGTATGCGATTTCCCTCACTTTTGCGCTATTTCAAACAGCAACTCTGCTCACAATTTACCTTCTTTCAGCTCGCCAAATTGACGCTGCTCTAGTTCGCTGTTCTGTCCTCGAGAAGGTCACAACCACGACCTTCCAGTTGACGCAGTACCAAAGTCATCGGCGCTCGTTTCGGGCGAAAACGAGACCCGACGCACCGCCTCCAATTGGCAGCTCGTTCAGTCGAGAAGACCATTCGGCTCCATTCCAAAAGCCTACATGCGCAAACGTGGAAATAGAGATACAGAATAATTTGGCTGCTTCTCTTTCATGTCACACCCGTCTGTGCGTGTGTGTGTGTGTGTGTGTGTTTGCACGTGTGCACAAGGACACACACAACTAAGAGTACTTTACCTACCACTATCCATCAAGCTTCCTATTGTTCTCTCTTGCCAGCTGTGCGTCGCTATGCATATTTCTCTCTTTCCTCATGAATGTGTATAGTCTCGCCAGTCTGTCTGTCTGTTTGTATTGTCTGTCACTTGGACACTTTTGCAAGCATGTGCTCCAGCTCCGAGGCGGTTCATCAAGTGTCATGTCGGACGCAGGCTCAGCCGCTTTTGCTCGTCTTTTGTCGGCACATGTTCACCCAAAACCGGACAGGACGCCTCATGGACTGCGTCAGCCTGACGGTCGTGGTAGGGTCAAACAGGACGGCAGAACAACGCGAATCAGCTGTTGCAGTATCTAAAAATTTGGCGGGAAGAAGCGATTGCAAGGCCTCGTAACTACTCCCAGCGTCGATGCGTGCGAGCACGATGAAGCCGTGCTCAGCTGTCTTCGCTGAAGTGACGTCAGAACGGGACAGCCAGTCTGACGCTAATTGACCCAAAACCCAAAACCCGAAAGCCACAAGCCGACCATCTTCTTGCTGTCGGCCAACTTTGTCCCATCATTCGGTCGCGAAGAGAAGTGGTTTCATAATTGTTGAGCTTACTTCCGTTTCGAAGGGGATTCGAAGGTCGGTTCCACCAGAACACGACTGGACGATTCATGCCAAAAGGAGCTAAACTTTCGTCCGCCACGTGACGAACATGTTCATCGCAATCAAATGAAAGCTAACGAAGAAAAGTTGGGTTTCGAGGAACCTCCTGTTTCATAATTGTTGGGATTACTTCCATTTCGAGTAGAAGTGTTGGGTGAAGAGATTCGAAGGTC